GGAGGAATAAAGAAGCATAATGTATTTCACTAAGTGACTGCATATGACTAATGGAAAAAGTTCACTTTCCCCATCATGTGATACCATAATTATTTAACGTCCTTTGGCATTTAGTTCATGATGTTTCTAGTTTGTTATTTTTTTATCTTGTTTCTGACTTGTTAGCTTTGGATATCACTATCTTCTTCCTAAACAAAGCTGACATCAGAAACTGGACTTCATCAAAATGCAGAACACACAGCAAGTGCCAGCCATGCATGGACAGTTCAAAGAATACTTTGCTTAGCAAAGGCATTTGATTCTGAATAGTAGTGCACAGCTCAGTTACTAATTAGAAAACTTAAACTGGATGTTTTTGTTGAGTTATACATTGTTAGATCTATTGCAATGGCACTGTAAAAATTGATTTCCCTTTTTCCACAGGCTTTGTCTGACAAGTCTGCATGCTACAGAAATGGCAGGAAGCGAGCAATGTTAATATAGCCTTCCTAAAAATTCCACACGATTATATAAAAATCCAGTCCCAGATTTCTGTTGGATTAAACTTTTGTGCCGCATATCTTGTTTATCCTTTATAATGCATGTCATCTAAAGTGGCTAGCTGTACAAACATATAATCCATAGTTACATTTCTACTAAAACGTAGTCATCTTTTAATCCATATGTTTATTGTACTGAATTCTGTGTTTTGGAGCAGAAATTTAAGAATCATGTTGGAAAGTTAAATGGGCAGAACATAGTATCAGAATGCCCATTTCTAGGCTAGTTCTGTCTCAAATATCTGTAGTAAATCACCACAATCAGTCATTAACACTTGGATTACTTTAGTCTATTAAAGAGTTTCTAAAACTGACATTATCTGGGTGTTAATATGCAGAATAATTGTTGCTTTAAAGAAAAATCCTGCATTGCTGCAGGAAAGACAAGGCAAGCTATGAATGTATTCCTTCTGCTCCCATTCTTATTACATGGTAATGGCTAGGAACTTCATGTCAAATCCCCAGTTGTGTTATCAAAGTGGTAAATGGTACACAGGTGGAGTTATTCCCTCTAGATCTGTGATACTTTCTGCTGCTTATTCATGTGCTTTGCAGGGTCAATACTTATATCATTACAATTTCCAGTGCCAATAAAGTGAGGATGTTCTTCCCACTACAGTAAGCAATGACACAAAGTTCACTGTGGTGGTTTGTTTGGTTGGTTTTTTGTCAGCTTGAGATGCTAGCAGCATCTTCCTTAGACCTAATATTCTGTTCTCTATAATGTCAATGAGTGTTGTGCCTGCTGACTCACGCATGGTCTTGGCCATGCAGTACTTCCGCACTTCAGAGAAAAGTGGAGGATTTGATAAGCATTTTGTAGCAGTTCTGCAAGAGAAGGCTGAAATAGTCAGGTTCTGTGTTTGATTATTCCACTGGAAATAAATTTTGTACACATTCCTCTCATTCATCAATTCAGAACTCGGGCTTTCTTTGCTGAAAACTGCCAAGTAGTATTCAGTAGCTTAGTGGAGAGTGTGCACACTTAAGTGTTTATACCACACAGTAATATGAAACACATTTTTCCGCACCTTCGTGATTCTTGCTGTGCTCTTTTGAGTTTCTTTTTTATCTGTTTCAGAGTTACGCTAGCAATGTCTCCATACAGTCCTCCGAAAGATGGCATTAAAGACCGTGCTTTAGGTCTCATTGCCGAAGCAATAGTGCCACCTTATGGAATTGAAAAAATATACTGTGGGCTATATCAGGAATAGTGGTGTCGGTTTCAGTATTTCAATTTTTATGCTGCAGCTGACCTGCATCTCTACATGCTGTAACCACCTGGACCTAATGATGGAAAATCTGATTCAAGGTTCAGCTGACAAAAGAATTGAGGTCCACCAGCCATTGTGATAATGGAAAATAGGTCTGATCAGATAGTCACCATGAAAATAAACTCAGATCTGTCTCAGGGCTTTTTTTCTAAAAAAAAAAAATCCATTTCTAGTAATCACTATTATCTGCCATTTATTAAGCAGCTTTTAATTTTGTGAAGATGTGAGAACAATGGTTGAAAAAAGAGGCATATAAATTATACCTTAGTCATGTGTTAGTTTGAGCCATCTTTGGATCAAACTGCTAAGAAAGCAATGGACTTGATGTCTACAAAAAATTACTGCAATGTTTTCCTCAAACACTAGTTCTGTAATAAGAATAAGTCTAAATTTGGTAAAATGTAACAATTTTTTGTTTATTTGGTATCGGATTATTTAAGACCTTTATTGATGATAAACTCTAGCTCTCTACATTTATATTATATTAAGAAAATATAATGCCTTGGAAAAGCTTGGCCAGCTGAAAACATTTCCCAAGTATAGTAGTTATCTAATGGTCTTTCAAGAATTGTTGGTTTTGTCTGTACCCCCATGGCAAAGATGTAGTTTAAGTTACCAGAGTTGCTAGAAAATATTAGTGCTGCATTAAAGAAAGCCTGTGTTCTGAGCAGCACAAGTATTTTAGCAGTCTTGAAATGCTGACTGAAAGCGAAGGTGCCGATACTGGTGAATGGTTCCCACCAGAAGCTAACAAGCTCTAACTCTTCTTTTACCAAAGTACTACACGCAGAGACTGAATTGGTAATCGCGTGCAGCGTTCTTACTTGATAGCATAAGCAGGGACAGTAATATTAGCTTTGCTTCTGTTTCCTTTTGACAAGTTGTCTTTTCAGGTGACTTTTAAGTCTGCCATTTTCTTTGAATTGTAGGCATGTTCTGGTAGGTTTTGTTACAAAGGGAGTGCATAAACTGGTAAAACACTATGCCAAATGCTAAATAAACCATACAGTAATTTTTATAGCTATCCTGAATGAAATACTGCTACTCTGCTTGTTTTGAATGTGCAAAATTTTAAACGTTTTCTTAAGCCTATAAAGTGTCTCTATGACTGCTTACATGTCCGTGGATAGTAGTATGTATCTGTTCTTTCAGCAAAAACATGACCTAGGTACCAGAATTACTGTAAAACACATTTCTAGAGGAGCATTTACGACACAATTTGGAAATGGTATAAATAATGCCTAATAAAAGCTGATTTCTTAGTTGGCTAATATAGGAAATATTTTCTCCTTTAAAAAGGAGCATATTGGAAAGGCAGCAGTGTTCTTGATTTGTCATTAATTCATTAACTTGTATTTAAACTTCTAAGTTATCAGAAGTTCTTTTGCTGAGGTTAGTTATCAAGACAATCCTAGATTAGGAAAAATTTCTCCAATTGTCACTGTAAGGAAAGGGAATAATCTTTTTTCAGGTTATCCCTATGAGCCAACAGTAATTACTGTTGGCTGAGATGCATGCATTGCTTTGTGTATGATGAAATTCCGCTTTTTTTAAGGTGACAACAATAGAATACCTGTTATCAGCTCACTCAAGATTAGAGACCAGCAGAGATCAGCGGTTTCAACAAATTGGATGCTCCCATACAACTACACGTGGCCTCCAGATAAGGTCTTTGTAAGCACACCTACGGCTAACTATACTCTTCGGGATTACCGACAATTCTACAGAGACATCAATTTTGAAGATGGCTGGCTAATGAGACAAGACACTGAACCCCTGGTCTACCAGATGACACCACCTGGTGTGCGCGTACACTGTCTTTATGGTACTGGTGTGGAAACACCTGATTCCTTCCATTATGAAAGTTTTCCTGACAAAGAACCCAAGATTCTTTACAGCGATGGGGATGGTACAGTAAACTTACAGAGTGCCTTGCAATGCCAAAAGTGGGTGGACATGCAAAAACAAGAAGTGGTAATATTTGAGCTTTCAGGAAATGAGCATATTCAAATGCTATCCAATGATACTACTATCTCCTATGTGAAAAAGCTGCTTTTTGATTTGTGATACCTTGTGTTGACAGTCATTTTCCTCACCTGTGATGCCTTCCCTTAAATATGGGAAAATGCCTTTTAATCTCTTGATATTTAGATATTTGAATTATTTATTTTGTGGGAGTTTTTTAAGGTAAGGCTGTGTTCAAGAAGTTGTTTGGTGTCCTAAATGATCATTTGTCTCCCATTTGTGTTTATGATGCTTCATGATATTTTCACATTCTGCAAATTTGGTCAAATATGCATTTTAGTGTCTCTGTGTCCAATATTCATACAGGCTTTCATTTGGAGGCTGTGCAGCCCCTTGCACATGCTACATAGAACCATAGATACCTGAGCTCCTTTGTGTGGTCTATGCAGGGTTTGGAGTGGAAGGGCTAGGAAGGATTTGCAAATCCAGTGCCCAGAAAACAAAGGAATTATATTAATTTGGGAAGCACAGTAAATTTTTTAAAGGGTCTTGCATATTCTGATTCACAGTTCCTAGTTCCTTGGTTTGTAAAAGAGCATAACTACTGTTTATGGAAGAGGTCTGCCTGGTACTGTAATACCTTTGTCATATCCAGCCTTTCCTTTATTACAGCTTTTGGGAAGGGAAAAAGATAGGTGTGCAAATTACTTCAAGTTTCTTATTAGGTACCTTTTTTTTAAAAAAAAAAAAGGAAGAAATTGCTCATCAACTTCTAGAACCTGATTACTTAGAATCTGGAGTCTAAGGAATTCTCACCTTGGGCTTTATTTATCAATGAGGGAAAGAAGCTAAACAGTGGTTGATGCTTGCAATAACCATAGCTGTGTGGAGTAGCACAGAAATTAAAGCTAATTGAATTGAATACTGGCAAACAATCCATACAGTGCAGAATTGCATTTCTGGGTAAAAAATTATCTCCTGTAGTGGAAATGATAATGATGCTGAGCATTAATTCAAAAAGAAAAGTGAACTCCTTGAAATGGGGTGGGGAATGGAAGACAGCGTAGTAGAGTATTAAGTATAAACCTTGTTCTCAGTCAAATGTTTAGGCTCTGATCCAGTTACTGACAAAGTAGCAATTGGATCAACATCGTATTCAGCTGAAAAGAAACTTTACATTTTAAGACTAAAATTCACTTCCCATAGATTACAAGTTTCATTATTGCTGTTCCAAGAAGTTAGGATACACTGTTCCTTAAATGTTTATATAAATTGCTGAATGTGCAACTCTGTTAATTTCTTACAGTATTGTTTTAGTCAATGTTAAAAAAAAAAATTTCAACTCTGAAGCCACAGAAATGATAGCCTAAAGGCCATCATATTTACAACCTTGATTACAGAAGTGCTGTTGGAGAAATAGTTTCACTCAGACTCTTTTGCTTGCTTTAAAACCAGTCACCCAGTTAGACTGCACTTTACTTTTCTGAAAACACAATTTTGGATGCTTTCAAAAATGCTAGGTCCTCCAAGAAAAATGTTTTAAGTTCTGACGACTTTCTGAAACTATTGAGGATTCATTACTTAAGAAATGAAGTTGTTTAAAGTTTTTAACTATTTTGGCAGTATGCATAAAATGTTTGCTGCCATTAAACATATCAATAAGATGTGTTGAAATGACAGGCTTGAACTCGTTACTGTAGAATGCAAACATTTTGTCACAGGAGGTAGGTTTAAGGCTTTAAGTTTTAATTCAGAAATTACTTGTAAATCCAGAACAACCTGAACTAGGGTCATGTATAAGCTAAATAACTTCCTAGGTTTTAACTTCCTTCATTCCCCGCCCTGCATTTTCCCTATTACTTTTGTTGAGTGAAAGAACACATATTGATGTTGAAAATGGAACATTTATGCTACCATCAGTTGCCCAGGAACCTACAGTTCAGCAGCAATATTGCCTAGACTTTTCCAGAGTTAGTAGTGAGTTGCTCCAAGCCATTTGTAGTTGGTAACTGTTGAAATGAAAAAACAAAACAACAACAACCCCCCACAAGAAGTCCTCTACACAAGTGTTGTATTTTATGCAGGGCTGTCAGCTGGATAACCTTCAGGCTTGTGTTCCAAGACTGCTCAAGGATAAAGCTCTTCCTGTGGTCTGACTCAATTTTTGAATAAATTGCTATGTTACTGGTATGCAACAGGAAAGAAATTGCAGAAAACAGCACATCACAATCTGTATTTCTTGCTGAAGTAGAATGCCTGTTAATAAGCATTGGAATGAGTGGAGCTGGAGGCTGTATTGCAGGCTACCAACATGGTTATCAAGGGCTGAAAAAATGAGAGAACATAGATAAACAGTTCTTAACCTGATCCGGAGAGTGTCTGTAAGCTTCATTTTAGATCCTTAACCGTTAATCAGTGGCATTTTCAGTCTCGTACCAAGAGTTTAGCTTCAGGGGCTTTTTTTATTTGAAGTTCCGAAATACATGATTCCAAAAGATGCACTTTCTTTTTTTATTCTTTTTTCCTTTACTACCTTTTTAATACTACTTTTGTGCTCCAAAAGAAAAAAATAATCTCTGGTTCCTTTCTAATTTTGGCAGCCCAGTACTGTGTTTCTGAGATAAGCTGACTGTATCTTTTAACCTAAAGATTTGTAAATCAGCTTTTGATTAGTAGGCAAGCCCTAGAGTGTGTCTCCTTAAGTTGTGTTAGTTAACCTGGTAAAATGAAGCTGCAAGTTTCAGGTCTTTTTTGGTGTTTGTTTTTGTTGTTTGTCACTATAAAGCCTTGTTGTGCAAGAATGTGTGTACCTGAGTTCTTAGTACTGTGTTAGAGCACGCATAGTGCTTCTGGTGAGATTTTGATTGGATGCGATGGGTTCTGCAGACTATAGTTCTGTTTTATGTCCAGAACTCGTGCTTTTTCTACCAAATTATCTTCAACCCTTTCATTTTCAGTTTCTTGCATATTAGAATGGAGTTCTCACTGAAAAGTGAATGCAGCAAGTAAACACTATTCTACTCATTGAAATGGAACCACTTCACTCAGCATGTTGAGAAGTGCTTACTCATTACAGCATGTTCCTCTGCAAGGCAAGAGTATTTAGCATTACTGTTACAGGCCTGCTAGAACCATGTGCACTTGAGCATTCTAGATTCTTGTGGAAGGAGAGGTCTGAAGAAATAAATCTTTAAGGAGAGGAGAATGTGGCACTTAAGAGGACTAACTCAGGTGCTTTGCCACACCGCACAGCTGAAATGTTTGAATTCACTGACATCTCTTCGTAATGCCGAAGACGTATCAATCATGTCTCCTTCCATAATTTTTACTCAGTTTTATTCTTCCAGGATATTTTCAGAAACCAAAAATAGTCTTGAGGACCAAATGCGTTTCTTGTTTTGGACAAAATGTATAGAAAAGGCTGAAGAAGCTTTCAGCTGTCATTGTAATACTTCTGAAGAGGTTCAGAGTCACTATGTGATTCTCTTTAAAACAGAAGGCTTCAATAACTAGCAATAATTGCAAAGGACTTGCAGACCAAAGGAAGGAATGTTTGGTATTAAGGTAGTTCTTGGAGCACAGTGTGTTCAAGGCCCTCTTAAATTCAGGGAATGTTTGGCAATGACTTTGCTGCTCTACACTTAACAGTATTTTGTATGGAACATTCTGAGACCTAGCATTTTATATGCTCTTTTTGTGTATGAATGCGTTCAATAGATTTTGAGTATTTTATTGTCAAACTTTGATAACATAATAAAGTTGGTCTAATACAGCTTGTGTCCTGTTGTGAATAATATGTTGTCTCACTGCTCAGATGGAATGTCAACTTGTTGCTGGCTGTCTTCCCCATGGATTCTTGGCATCTCATTTTCTCACAGTAATTGCTGCTTGGTTCATCTTCCAAATGCACCTACTGTTTTGTGGTACATTTGGAGTTTTCTGTTAATTGTTCTTGAATTTATGGAGATGTGGGAGGGAGATTACTCAATTTCTTTTGTTTGCTTCTTTCTGTCTCATTTCATATGGGGGAAAAAGAAATTCTTGGGATGCCTCATGCTTCTGCTCAGGTAATCATTTTGAAATTAGTCCCTCAATCCTGAAATGTCCTAAATGCTTGCAGTTGCCTTTATACTGTTTGTTTCCGAACTGATCCACAAACACATGCGCGTTGACCATACAGTTTCACGATTGTATGAAACAATCTTTTTTGCAATTAAACATAGTGCATTGTGGCTCTGAAGAAACTTGAACAGTAGACAATGATTCTGTAGGGCAAAAAACCCTAAAAATTATCTCCCTTATCAAAGTAATCTAAAAGCCTGTTGGGCAAGTGTAAGTCCTCTGGTGGCCATGCTTCACTAACTGATAGTACAAATACTTGCTTATAGTTCTCGAGAAAGAAGAAAAAATGATGAGGTTGAAACTTGCCTTGTGGAGGATTTTTTTTGCATCATAAAGAGTAATACAAGTGTGAGCGTACTGCTGCTCCTCTGTACTCGAGACTCCTATTAATTGGACATCTTGTCCCAGTACAATTTTTGTTCATGCCTTCCTCAGGGTTCGTTAACCCTATAAGGTTGCAGAAGAAAGGGAAATGTGGCCTTCCTCCAGCTCCCTACTAAAATGGAGGAAGTCCTGCACTAAAGCACTTTGCCAATTCTTGGAAGAAGCTGGGAAGGCTGAGAGCACAGGGAAGTGGGGACAGAATGATAATGGGGCCTGGCTAGAGTGACGCCAAGCCATGTGGAAGATTGGTGTCCTGTGTAATTGTACCTACACGATTCTGTGTAATTGATGTAACACTGGTGCTAGCTTGGGTTGTGCATCTTCTAAATTAACAAAGTAATAGTTGCATATTGCCTGATGCTATTTTGCTGTGCTATCTTAAATGTTTACTGTAATGATGGGATTGCAGTTTTGAGGAAATTATGTTGACTTTCTCTTTTGCTTGAATTACAGCTTTTCTAGCTTAAGTTTCCTTTGTTTTAAGACTAATTTACTTTCTGGTCATTCAGATCAACAAATGAGAGTTATGTGGAAGATTTAGTTCCCAAATCGGCATTCTTCAGGCAAAAGCAGAATGTCATATGAGCATGATATTG